TGTCTCAAACTTAGTAAATTTGTATTTAATCTTAAGTTCTGTCAATTTGTGAGACAATTCTTAAGGTAAATTAATGTAAAAGAGAAATTCACCAAATGGTACAAAAACTCGTTTTATTTGCGATAAAAGGAGCATTAGACATCAAATGTAGCGGGGAAGTCAAAGATGGTTGCAATTCCTGTAAATGATTTAAAACCGCTCATTTTGTCTAAAACTAATACATAAATTATTACCTATAAGGACATTCTGAGTATAGGACTAGATGTCATTATTATTGTAACTCAACCAGGTCTACTATAACATCATTATTGAAATATTCTAGGTTTTGTATTTATTATCGTTATCTTGTATAAAGGTTAATTTTTCGCATGAAGTCCATCTGAGGACGATCTGTCTTCCTGTAAAATTTACAGACAAGAACTAAATTTTGTAGGATTTTCATTGATCACTTTAAAATTACAAACAGAAATCCGGTATTCTAACATTGGTATATCAATCTAAAGGATCTTTCAGAAACCTTTACACATTCGTATTATGAAAAAAATGTAAAGCAGCATCGGAAACAAGCAAAATCAGAGAATTTTCTCCCAAGAAAATATTTCCACTGCTTGTATTTTTTTTCTTTAACGGTCACGATCCCGAAAACACATGTACATACAAAATAAATAAATAAATGAATAAAACCTTTCTTGTACAGTAAGTACATGTAGATCATGTTCATTGTTTATGATATACCATTATGATTATTAATGTGTTCTATTGATTTAAATTTCAAATTTCCGGTGTATTTTTGCATATTAATAAAGCATTATATCAATTTGTACATAAATACCTAAGTGTATGGTACACAAGTTTACGGAAACAAGTCAGTTCCATTTAGACAATATCTTGCATTGTTTCCGAGATCGACAAATTAAATGCTTTTTAATCTATGCAGGTAGAAACAGTCTAACCTCTACCGAGTATCTTTTATCTTTTTAATCTTTAAAGTATTTAAAAGATATTTCTTTATTAAACTAGTACATTGTATCTCTTACTATTTACAAATTTCATTCATGACAAGAAACTAAATAATAGTAGTTTAGATTAAGAAATTGATACAGTTTGAAATATAATATTTATCTATTACTATTTGCTTGCAACATTTTGTTAACTTATTCATGTATCAACATTTGTTTAACTGTTTCACTTTTTTCTCGAAGTGTCATCGTTTCCCTTAATAAAGTGCCATATTCCCATTGATTTCCTCATGTGCGAGTGTGATGACAGTGTTGTTACCGTTGCTTTCTCTTCAACAGTTAATATAGGAGAAAACTGCAAATATTTAACATTCTGTTTGCATATAGTAATTGTTAAATTTTCACTTTGCAAACGTTCATTTTATTCATACGAGCTTGTCATACAGGATCATATAGGTTAAGAATTGAGTTGACACGCCATCATCCATTTTAAATCTCGAGGTAGAGGGTTCGCCAATCACCGCTCCAAGGTGATGTCCCTCTGTTCTCATTACATGCATGTTTTTCATATTTGGTAGACGTTTTCTATAATTCTAACGTTTCACATGAAAGATTCCAAGATAATTATCGTTTGAACACATCTGCTGAGTTCTTTGATCATCGTATTCTATTTAAGTAACTAATTATGTTTCTTTTCTTGTCTTAATTTATATTCATTAGTCAGTCTTGTATGACTAGAAATTGTCGGGGATGTTTATGTGAACGCCGCCCTACGTCGCTGATCGTTGCCCTTTAGGATTCCCTGAGGTTGATGGCGCAGGATTCGTTAGTATTACATTGCTATAAACATTTTTCAGGACAAAGACTTCATCTGCAAACATTTCCTCAAGTAAAGACAAATTTAATGTTTTAACAAACCCATAAGATTTCAATGAGTATAGAGCTTGTAATGCACAGTCTTGCGCGCCTAAATACGACTTGGTTTAACTTTTCTGAAGACCACCAACAAGAACAATTTTACAATAGTCGACATTATACACCATCAATGCCTTCGTTTATCATCAGGTGCATTTCAAGCATCGCCATGATAGATTCTATCGGGTCAACTCACACAGAGAACTTTTTCAAAAGCTCGTTTACTTTAAGGGATTCTATTGTATTCTTAAATTTTACTTACTTAATAATGATTGTTCGCATTGGCCTTTACAACAAATTTAATGCTCTATCGAATAAACCCTAAAAATACATTTCAATATTAATTACGTTTAATAGTTTACTTTGTTTGGTTTCAACCAGTTATGAACAATGGATCCGTGCTAGTATTTACATTTGAAATCCTTAGTTTTAGGTAACTAGATACATCGCAGCAGCATGCCTTCAGATTTAAAGTAAAATGTTGTGAAGTGAACAAAGTAATTTACACATTGTAAAAAATTAAAGGACACGTTCATTACCAAAAATATGTCGAAATATGCAAAACTTTACTGCTTTAGTCACGCAGTAGAGAAATGGTAATAAATACAGCAAAATCCGTCAACTTATGCACAAATCATGTAAATGTCAACTTGGATCTTAAATCCTTTTTACATTTCTTAACAGCTAAGAACATATTTTCCAAATATGCAGCTTTATCTCAATATCACATGTCGCTTATTTTCGGTGATGATATTGGCTTAAGTTCTTCACCGCACAACATCATGATAATTAATTGTTATTAAGAACGATTAAAAATCTATTATTTTTTACGAAATATCACTTAAAATACGAAAATTCTGTCATAATTAACATTACTTTCATCAGTATATCTGAAATTCAAACAAATCAAAACAAATGTGAGGTGATTACAAAACTAACACATATGTCAATAAATTTGACAATACTTCTTTTAAGCTCGACTATTAGAAGTATATGGAGAGCTGTCCTACTAGCCCCAGCGTCGGCGTCCAGATTTCAGATCAAAGTTTTGGTTTAGTATAATATTTTTCACCATTACTTTTTTCATTTCTTAAGGTATCAACTTCAAACTTCAAATATATGTTCCTTATCATCAACTACATCTTATGTGACAAGGTTCACAACTCTAGCACCAATACATTCAGATTTATCTCCCCTTGAAATTAGAATTTTCCTTCAAAAGTATTATTTTTACTGTAACTTCTTCATTTCCTAAGGGATCAACTTCATATTTCAAATATATATTCCTTATCATTAACTACATGCTATGTGATAAGGTTTATAACTCTTGAAGCAATATTTTCAGATTTATCTCTCTTTGAACTTTTTTCTTTAAAAAATATTAAAACTTCTTTACTTTTTAAGGTATCTGCTTCAAACTTAAAATATTTATTTCTTATCATTAAACACATGTTGTGTGACAAGGTTCATAATTCTAGCGTGACTATTTCCGGAATTATTCCCCCTTGTACTTGAAATGTTTGTTAACAAATGTTGTTGTTTTTTTACTTTAACTTCATACAAAATTATACATAATATATTTTTCTTTCATAGTTTTGTCTTCCTTACTGTGTCAGGTATTTATTAATCGAGCTTCGCTGACTCCTGTGACAGCTCTTGTTTAAAATATACTTCTGAATTTTAGATCGTCATCAAAATAATTAAATAATATTGTTTATTTTCTGGTTTAAAGTTAATATAACAAAAAACAATAATAAGTATGTTGATAGGAAACTTTTAAAAAGATGAAGACAGGGATTTGGACTAAATTTCACAAATAATTATATTAAAGCACCGGGTGTACTATTAAAGTAAAGAAAAATGTGATAAATCAATTGTTAACTGGGATAAGAAATTTCAGAATGTAAAGCTACTCTCTTTAGTTTGAACAAAAAACTAACATTCTACGTTAAAATGTTAGTACTTAAGTGATAAGTTTTACACAAAAAATATTTATCTTATCCAATGAACAGGCATAACAAAATCAGTTTTAACACATGAACTCATTGGTTTATTGTTTACTTTTTATTTATGGAACATTAAAAATGGTCATATTTAAAGAAAAAATACGATATAAAATAAAGATATTAAGGTCGGAAAGACAAAGCAATGACAATTGCTACTGAGTGCTACTCCACATTTCTCTTTAAATCAGTATTGGAATGATTTATTCATGTAGACAATGAATCTAGACCTATTTTAATCTCATCCATAAATGACACATATGATTTTTGACAAGCGATATATATATATGACTATAAATTATGTAGTAAAGCCTACAAGATATTGCACTGGCGAAGCGTATCGAAATCAATGAATTTATAATTCACAATGGGCTCCGAAACACTACTTCAAAATTTTGTATGTAGTATATAATATATTGTAAAAAACTTATGCAGTAAACATGACTCAACATCTTTAACTTGAATTGATGAGTTCGTCATAATGTTTGTATGTTTTCCCCTTGAACCTCATTTAATGCTTTTTGAATGTCAAAATGGAGAATTCCATATCTCTGTCGCATTTGGTATATAAGTCATTGGGATCGATAAAACGATTAATTATATCTCACGTAAAGTTTTTACTATATAGCATGATGTGACTTCACATGGTTTATCCTGGAAATGAATATCACCAGCACCCAACTGCATAAACGTTTGTTAACTTTAACCACTGGGTTAAATCCGTGGTAAAGTTAACTTTTGGGTTAAACTTTGGTTTACCGACTGTATAAAATTTTGGTTAAATTTAACAATTTATGTAACGGAATAGAGTCGACTAACAGTACAAAACGTCAATGGAAATATATAATCATGCACTTGAAGCAGCATAAACGTAACACGCACGTTACCTGAAAAAGTTAGATAACCAGGAATACTAAAGTTATTATTTACTTAATAAGTTAATTATAGTTTCCTTAAAAAATACTATAAGATTGAAAATGTTGCATACATGGTTTGATTGAGTCTGTACATGAACGGTATTAGTAAGTGCAAAATTCGTCAACGCACTCTAGCATCGACAAGAACATACAGATGATAAAATTTACCCTCAGGTTTTTACCCTCCTGAGATACACACGAACAAAACATAGTTAAGTAAAATAAAGCAAGCATGACAATTAAAATGACTTTACAGTTTATCCACTTGTGATACACACGTGCTATCTTAAGGAGTATTATTTATGATCCTTAAAATTATTTAGTATATCGGCTACATTGGCTGTTGTCGGTAAATTATATGTTTCATCACCAACCGGAAAGAACCGTTCTTTCATGTTTTCTAATTCCTTTTCTATATCTGTATCTTTGTCATTGTTTCCCTTATTGTTCACTGATTCTTGTTCACACTCTGCTTTGTTGTCTAATTCTTTCTTACCATGCTCAACCTTTGCTGACCCTACTTTTTCTTCAGGTTCAAATTACTGACCAGAGGAGTTTTGTTTGAGACTTGTTTTGATGCTAAATGGTTCTTCAGATTCGTTCATGTCAGGGCATAATCCATTTTGACCATTAACTTGGAAATTTTGCTCGGCATTATTTTCTTTTTCAGCATCATTCCTTACGCTATTATCATCTTTATTCTGAAATGTACATGTATTAATATGTGTATATAGCTGGTTAACATTGTGTACATGTTTGGATTAAGGAATGGAAAAACTATTACCGATATGTTTTATCAGGTCATTGAATAATTCTTTGACAGATCATTTGGGTTCATTTATAATGTATAACAAACTAAATAACTGTAGTAAGTGAATATAATTTAATTAAGTGAAACATTTTAAAGAAGCCATGTACTTAATGACTTTACGATTTTTTAACTTCAGATTTAAGCGAGCATAGTATCTAGATCAAAATATATAAACAAATAAAGCATACTTTCATTTGTTCAAATTTGATGAACAATAACATGGTGTTATCACATTCAATATTCTTTTCACCAGATGTTTTAGCAGCTTTGGTCGTGCGACATTACCGTAAACAGCTAAATCCTCGAATACATCTTTTCTAATACAAAGACTTGTCTTTCCCGATTTTATTATATATAAAGTTTCATTTTCCTTTGTTTTTGTTTGGTGGGCTTTACAGAAGCCTTCGTATGTTATGGATAATATAACGTCTTTACTTACATGACATTCGTTCGAAATAAGGTCTATAACAAAATCCATAAACATGTCATAATCATTTTGACGAATTGGCATGATATCGAAAAGCAGATTTTGCTTGGCATTTTCCATGATATACTTTTCATTTGCACTCCGTTTATATTGCTGAGTAGTTGATTGATCTTGCTTTCGTTTACTTATTCGCTCTCGTTCGGCAATATTGGTATCATCATAATTGTATTTAGTTTCAATACTGTTTTTGTTTAATTGTACTAATGTTTCCTCCCGATTGGATATTTCGTTTGTAGTATACTTAGAACAGTAGGGACAATGAGCCAATTGGTAACTACGAGTTTCACTTGAACTGACAAATATTCCTCTTGCACAATTAGAGTTGCCTTGTACTTCATCATCATGTAAGGCCATAACCTGTTGTGAATGTGCAAAGTTGCTGCCAAATGGTCTGACTAATTTGTTAGGGACTTCAAGGAAACACATTGGCGTTGCCTCTTTCATTGGGGGGTTCCTTAAGGAAACAAATAGGACAAATATGTGCACATTATAAAATTAGAGACTTTTTTACTTATAAATATAAGTCCGACCAGTTTAAAGGAATCAAAAAATAATTGTTATAGTAATTGACATCATCGGAAAAAATATTCAGTAAACTTCAAACTGTTTTGCTATTCCGTTAAAACGTATTGGCATAGTCATGTATATTGTATGCATGTTGTCATATGCGTCAAACAAACATAGCGTCTAATACTTAAGTTTAGTGTAACATCATAAGAGCGTCAATGAAAAGCTTGACAAAAATTAATTCTTATTTACGTAATATTAATTCGTTTTTACGAAATATTAATTCATCTTTACGAAATATCAATTTATAATAACGAAATACTAATTTCAATCCAAGTTTCCATCTTTTCATTTAAATGTCTTAAATAGTTATCAAGTCATGTTCTTGACCAAAATAGTATGGTAAAATTAAATAAATGGACATGATAAAAAGACTAAATAGCGTTATGTTTCTTAGACAATGCACTTTTCCTAGTTGCCATCTATTCATATTTCAATTTTCAAGTCAATCTGTAAGGAAGTTTTTAATTTATACTCCGGACAAAAATGAAGGACGGAATTACAGAGGGAAAGATACTAAAACTATATCCCCCGCCGCCTTTTGGCGGAGTATAATATGGGTTAGCCATGGACAACCTCTTTACAATATGATCAGCAGCGTGCTTACCAGACCTCAAGAAATTTAGTGTATTATAATGTTTAAAGTACACTGTGACCTTGACATACAACCTACTGATCTCTGTATCTGAAGTGACTTTCTAGTAACCATGAGCAATCACGATACCAGCATGCAGTAATGAGGATAGCAGCAAAATCATAAACTTAACGTAACAAAAATGTGTTCGTTCATGTCTGGATTTGGACCCCACGACCCCAATTTTAACAGAATTTTCCCAGCGTCTGTACTATCACGGATATTATTATACCATTTAATAACAGGATATGTTTCGTAAAAAATAAATATTATTTCGTATTGACAAATTAATATTTCGTATTTACAGATAATATTTCGTTTCTACGTAATAATATTTCGTTTTTACGATTAATATCTATAATTAAGAAATATTATTTCGTTTTTACGAATTAATATTTCGTTATTACAAAATGAATGATATTTTGTAGAACAAATTTTTATTTTGTAATAACGAAATAATATTTCGTAAGTATGAATTAATATTTCGTAAAAGCGAATTAATATTTCGTAATTACATAAAAATGAATTAAGTCCCGGGGAAAAAGTAAAGAAAATGTCACCTTAAGGGCACCGTAGATTCTTATTTGATTTAAACAGTTCTTTTATAGTATGCGACAAATAGATCATCATATTCGAATAAATAAAAACCTACTGAATTTTGATTCGCTCGGTATGATAGAATAAACACCACATTCCACAAGGTTCACCCTTGACAAGATAATGTCAACCGAGGCGTTGTTAAGTTTCAGCACTTCCCTCAGTTGGATGTATTAATGATATATTATCCTAGCCAGAAACACCGATATTTAATATTTTTAGTATAAAACATACACTCGATCAATATCCTCTGTATGTCAACTAACCTGACCTTTGTTTCATACAAATGGTAAATCTAACAATTTTTCTCGGAATCTGGTGACATGTATATTTTACTTTCAGTGACATCTATTAAACAAAATAAAAAAAATAGAATCAAACCTTTCGATAGAATCAACCATTTTTATATCCTCTTCTGCATCAAAGGCGCTTGTAACAGCATTTTTGATGTGTTCAAAGGTTGCCCTTGTGCTTCCTAGATTGTTAAGCCATTTATTGAATACTTTTAAATACGCATAAATGACCCAACCCACTGTATGCTGATTCTTTGCTTCTAGCTCAATTTCATCAACTGTATCATGAACGCTTCTAGTCATCTTCTGACAATTGCCTACAGCCAAATGTAATGCATTTTACTTTATTTATTTATTGAACATTATTAAATAAGATAATAATACATAAAATACTCGAAGAAATTTCTGTTATTTACCATTTTTAAGATAACAATAACTTTTTGACAATTGTCCACAAAACAATTTGTATGATAGGACGAGAAAAACTTTATTTTATAGCTGCATACAAATCCGCTATTATATAAATTACCTTAGCGTGTAACTTAGTCGAGGCAAATTTTTCAACAAACTTAAGTTATACAAGCTTACTTAGTAATTCATATGCAAATAATTTCCAGCGTGTTGCAGAAAACGATTTTGATAAATCTAAGAAAACCCTTTCCCAGTTAATTTGCAATTCAGCGGTACCTGAAAATTGAAAATAGAATTTTTAGAATCGAAATAAAGTAAATTTCATATTATTTGAAACAATAAACAGACAATATTCGATAAAGTTTAAAAGCTATGATACTTTTTTCTTTGGTTTAAAAGCATTTTAACTGATTTTAGTCCCGTATTTTATCATTTTTAAATATAGGTATACTGCAATTAGTCTCATTTTTTTCTGACACTTTGTGTTTGAGTAACAAATATTTTGATATTTCTCAAACAGCTCTCAGTCATTATAATATTAATTAGAAATTGTCGTTGGAACAGATGACTATCCTCGAAGCGGAGCCAAGTAAAGGAATCATGATCTTTGACTCATATTGAACGCATAGTAACGCTGATAACATTTAAAATATTGTTACAAAAGTCACTTTCTTATATGCCCAATATTCCCAAATATCAAAAAACATCCACAAATCAATCAAAAAGATATGACCATATACAAACATCGTTGTCCATTTTTAAAGCCTTTATCACATTGAGATCTTTAACGGACGACCTGTCATTTTAGCATGACGAGTCATTTATGTGCCAAAAATTAATGCCTGTTTTTTTCTCATTTAATCAATGAATGGCGGAACTAATGACCGGACATGGACATCAAAGTACTTTTTTGATCTTCAGCTTTAAGCTACCTACATGTCGTCTAACATCGAATATGGTTTAGAAGTGCTATATTTTTAAAGCTACATTTAATAAATTTCATAAAACCAGAAATAGCGACATTTCATTAATAAATTTGGTTTCATATCGACTCAATATCTTATTTTGTGAGTGAGTTTTATAAGCATAACAATCTGCAACATCATTGTGGTGAAATCGGAATTTCAATTTCTGTTTGCATGAGAAGCTCCGCCTTCGGATCATATTCATCAATATTATATCAACAAGCATGACTACAAGTAGCAGTCCTAATTTAACGGTATATTTCCGCATTGTAACGGATGTTTTCATACAAATCTAATTTTTTATGGTATGCCTAATGCACCGTAAAGCTAAAACGGTTAAGGTGTGTTTGCACATGAAAATCTCATATTTGCTGTGTTTCGGATAACAACTATAACACTGTAACTGCGCATACACAATGCGATTATAGTCTTCATTTGCATATCAAAATTCGTATACGAACTTTATGTTACTTTGGGGTTTTCCGTTAAAAATCGTAATTTATGAACAATTTTTTATAAGATTTACAACAATACTGTTAAAAAGGTTAATGAAACTGTAGAATGTTTGGTTTTTAGGCCGAAGGCAAAATACTTTTACATATTTATTTAATGTTACTTTAAAGCAAATTATTTCAAAATCTGCTACAGAATGGAAATAATTTACAATCAAAAAGGAACGACAGAAAGAACTGATTTACCGGATACGGCTATAAATGCGCTTTCTAAAATTATATATTCAAGTCTAAGTGTGATCTTAACTCTGATCTTTTTGCGTATAAACCATCGGCTTAATATGCCAAAAACAGTCTTACCGGACACGAATCACTACATTTTTATATAAAGAATGAGGCATTGACCCTTGAGCTACAAGCCAAATATTTATGCAAAAATCTTAATGTTGCATTTAGCATGTATTGAATTATAATTTATTCTAAAATAAAGAACTGTACGAAAGCCTAATAGTGTCAAATAAAATAAGAAAATAAAAATGCAAAGGCGTTATAACGCGAATAAAGGCGTTATTACGCGAATCAAAAGGCGTAATAACGCGAATCAAAAGGCGTTATAACGCGAATCAAAAGGCGTAATAACGCCTTTATTCGCGTAATAACGCAATTCAAAAGGCGTAATAACGCGAATAAAGGCGTTATAACGCGAATCAAAAGGCGTAATAACGCGAATAAAGGCGTTATATCGCGAATCCAAAAGCGTAATAACGACAATAAAGGCGTAATAACGCAAATCAAAAGGCGTAGTAACGCGAACCAAAAGGCGTAATAACGCAAATTAAAACGCATTATAATGCCAATTTAATACCATATTTATACTAATCAAATTGCCTAGTAACGCGAGAAAGGAAGACCAATAATGATCTGAATTTATTGCTTCAAGATATAAACTCGTACAGAATAATACAATATACATTTACAATAACTATCATTCCATTTGCGCAGTAATAATGCAAACTATTTGTCATAAACTAATGAAGACTCTTTAATATTTGCCAATATAAGATGACTTGGTGACTTATAGGTCCATTGGACTGGACTTAAATAAAGTTACTCTGAATTCACATGTATCACATCATTGATTTTAAACACGTCACTAAAGTAAATGAATTTCTTTTCTTATCTTTTCTTTTCTTTTCTTATATCTTATCTTATCTTATATGTGCGTCAAAATGTTCAATTATCTTCGGATATGTCCTGTATAATTACTTAATAACCTGTAGTATCTTCTAATTATGTGAATGTCGTTCCCAATTACGCCATAGGTAATAGGCTATAGGTAACAAGATTTTGAAAAAAAAACGTAAGGTATAAGTAAATCACATTAGGGTGAAAGTATATCTTAATAATTAGGTATGCTTAGAAGGGTGAAAGTGTTTCTGTTAAGTTACAATTATAGGAGACATTGTCTTCTTTGTCCTTGTAGAAAAGTATCTAAAGTTGGGTGATAGTAACCTCTAATCCGACCGAAAGCATTTCCTAATAAAAAGATTTTAAAAAAATCAAACTCTGGTCTTAGGACGTATCCGTACATCTTGAATCAATTCATTTAGATCAACATTGTTCTTCCTTTCTTACATGACTAGGCCATTGTTTGAATTTATATGGTATAAAATTAGCGTTATAACGCCTTTTGTTTTGCGTTATTACGCCTTTTGGTTCGCGTTATTACGCCTTTTGATTCGCGTGATAACGCCTTTATTCGCGTTATTACGCCTTTTGATTCGCGTTATTACGCATTTTGTTTCGCGTTATAACGCAAATAAAGGCGTTGAAACACCAATTGAAAGGCGTTATAACGCGAATTAAAAGGCGTAATAACGCGAATAAAGGCGTTACAACGCGAATCAAAAGGCGTAGTAACGCCTTTAATCGCGTTATAGCGCGAATCAAAATGCGTAATAACGCGAATCAAAGGCGTTATAACGCGAATAAAGGCGTTATAACGCCAATTGAAAGGCGAAATAACGCGAATAAAGGCGTTATAACGCGAATTGAAAGGCGTAATAACGCCTTTATTCGCGTAATAACGCAATTCAAAAGGCGTAATAACGCGAATAAAGGCGTTATAACGCGAATCAAAAGGCGTAATAACGCGAATAAAGGCGTTATATCGCGAATCCAAAAGCGTAATAACGACAATAAAGGCGTAATAACGCAAATCAAAAGGCGTAGTAACGCGAACCAAAAGGCGTAATAACGCAAATTAAAACGCATTATAATGCCAATTTAATACCATATTTATACTAATCAAATTGCCTAGTAACGCGAGAAAGGAAGACCAATAATGATCTGAATTTATTGCTTCAAGATATAAACTCGTACAGAATAATACAATATACATTTACAATAACTATCATTCCATTTGCGCAGTAATAATGCAAACTATTTGTCATAAACTAATGAAGACTCTTTAATATTTGCCAATATAAGATGACTTGGTGACTTATAGGTCCATTGGACTGGACTTAAATAAAGTTACTCTGAATTCACATGTATCACATCATTGATTTTAAACACGTCACTAAAGTAAATGAATTTCTTTTCTTATCTTTTCTTTTCTTTTCTTATATCTTATCTTATCTTATATGTGCGTCAAATGTTCAATTATCTTCGGATATGTCCTGTATAATTACTTAATAACCTGTAGTATCTTCTAATTATGTGAATGTCGTTCCCAATTACGCCATAGGTAATAGGCTATAGGTAACAAGATTTTGAAAAAAACGTAAGGTATAAGTAAATCACATTAGGGTGAAAGTATATCTTAATAATTAGGTATGCTTAGAAGGGTGAAAGTGTTTCTGTTAAGTTACAATTATAGGAGACATTGTCTTCTTTGTCCTTGTAGAAAAGTATCTAAAGTTGGGTGATAGTAACCTCTAATCCGACGAAAGCATTTCCTAATAAAAGATTTTAAAAAATCAAACTCTGGTCTTAGGACGTATCCGTACATCTTGATCAATTCATTTAGATCAACATTGTTCTTCCTTTCTTACATGACTAGGCCATTGTTTGGAATTTATATGGTATAAAATTAGCGTTATAACGCCTTTTGTTTTGCGTTATTACGCCTTTTGGTTCGCGTTATTACGCCTTTTGATTCGCGTGATAACGCCTTTATTCGCGTTATTACGCCTTTTGATTCGCGTTATTACGCCTTTTGTTTCGCGTTATAACGCAAATAAAGGCGTTGAAACACGAATTGAAAGGCGTTATAACGCGAATTAAAAGGCGTAATAACGCGAATAAAGGCGTTATAACGCGAATCAAAAGGCGTAGTAACGCCTTTAATCGCGTTATAACGCGAATCAAAATGCGTAATAACGCGAATCAAAGGCGTTATAACGCGAATAAAGGCGTTATAACGCGAATTGAAAGGCGTAATAACGCGAATAAAGGCGTTATAACGCGAATTGAAAGGCGTAATAACGCCTTTATTCGCGTAATAACGCGAAACAATAGGCGTAATTACGCGAATCAAAAGGCGTACTAACGCGAATAAAGGCGTTATAACGCGAATCAAAAGGCGTAATAACGCGAACCAAAAGGCGTAATAACGCAAAACAAAAGGCGTTATAACGCTAATTTAATACCATATAAATTCCAAACAGTGGCCTAGTAATGTATGGAAGGAAGAACAATGTTGATTTAAATGAATTGATCTAGATGCACGTTTTATTATATGCGTGAAAGAATTTCGGGCATATTATGTTATACCCCTGGCGTCCGTCCGTCCGAGCAAACATTTTGGGTTTAGGGGCTATATAACAGTAACGAGAACAAAAGAGAACAATAGGTTCAATCCGTAATCAAAAGG